GTCCCTTTTTGCAATATGAATCCAGGATGCTGTGGCTGCTCCACCCATAGGGCTTTAGCCCTTACACCTGTAGTGTGCTGCTGTACTTTCAGCAGCCATCACCTCTGCGTCTCCTTGCCCAAGGGCTTTTAAAGTGCCTGCACACACAGTGAGAGAGTAGTGTCAGCCCTCTCTTCTCCTGACCTCCCCACCCCCAGCCACTTCTCCCTGAAAGCAAGCCTCAACCCATGCATTGGCACGTAAATATCTCAGCTCCCTCTCCCCTGACTCTGACACACATGTTCAAAGTGTGGTCCCTGGACTGGTGCCAGTCTGGGAACTGTTTATTACTGGTTTGCAGTAAGTAGAGAAATTAAGCATTTTGGGAGGCAGGGGTAGGCAGATCGCCTGAGGTCAGGAGTTTGAGACCAGCCTGGCCAACCTGGTGAAACCCCATCTCTACTAAAAAATACAAAAATTAGCTGGGCATGGTGGCATGCACCTGTAATCCCAGCTACTCCAGAGTCTAAGGCTGGAGAATCACTTGAACCCAGGAGGCAGAGGTTGCAGTAATGGTGCCACTGCACTCCAGCCTGGGCTACAGAGGGAGACTCCATCTCAAGAAGAAGAAAAAAAAAAAAAAGAAAAAGAAATTGAGAATCGGCATTTGGGAATTTCTCTAGCAATTTCACTGGGTAATTATATATGTTTCAAACCCAATAGTAAAAAATTGGGGCTTGTATTTTGTATGCCTTGTTTTTTTACTTTTCTAGGAATTAACTTTTATTGTATATTCAAAAGTGTCAGGAGGAGAAAAAAGTGTTGGTCTAAAATATCTTAGAAATTAAAAAGAAAAAAAATAAATCCTTCAGCATAGATAGTTCGAAGAGAAGTCTTCTACACTGTTTCCAAATGGGGTTAAGCTCTGGCTGTGCACTATTGTTCAATAATGCACGCTTTATTGCCCATCTTTCCTTCCCTGTCTTATTTCTCCACTATCCCACGAGTACTTCCTAGGATGTCTCCCTAAATACACCACTTAACTCAAATTCTTGTCTCAGGGTCTGCTTCTGGGAAGAACTCAGCCTAAGACAATGACTTATGTTTCTTTCCAATTAATTCCAGAAGCCACTTAGTTGCATCCTGTGATTTTCAAGTGGATATGCCTTTGAAATGAAATGCCTAAAGTTTCTTCATGGAAGTACCTTTTAAAAATACCTCAAGCCTTTAAGAGCATTTAGAGCCATTCAAGAGGCATTTTTGTTTAATTCCATCCATGTCTTAATTCATTTAAGAAAAGATTATGAGTAAGACATCCTAGAATGTGATCACCACACTTATTCACACTTTAACTTCATGAAAGCATTGAATTGTCCACCGTCTTCTCCTCCATTTACTCTGCTTTGCCCTCACAAAAAGCTCAAACATTGCACAAACTTTGCATGTAAGTCCTCAGCCCTAGAGGTCTCAGGATCCTAGGAGAGACCAGGGCTATGAAGCGGGATCATATTCATTCTCAGAGTCTTCTAAATACAAGGGATTTCAAAGGAGCTGATCGCAAATCAAAGTAAAGAGCCACAGTCTTGGCTTTGTTCCCTGTCTGCTGTTTGTATATTTCATAGTATGCATGGGCTGGGGGTGCCCATGGCGGGGCCTGATGGTTATAACCACAATCAATCAATTCCAACCTATTTTCAGGACCTGACAGCCATCGGGACAACTTCCAGAACTGTGTGAGTCTTCTTTTCATTATTTAAAGTCTGGTGAAAGGATGCAAAAATGCCTAATGAAAGGGTCAGGCTGAACAAATGATGGGCCAGCTGAGGGCTTAAGGCCTGGGCTGTCAGAAGGGCATTAGCACCTGGGTCTCTGAGGCACGCACACTTGGCATCTGGGCATCGTTTCATCCCTGGCATTGGGGTTCGGTAGTGCTGGGTTAGCTTTACAGCTCTAGTCTAATGCAGATGAATTACCAAGGGGGCCAATGAGACACTTAATACTGGTTTCCCCAGTACTTTCGTAGTCTGGAACTTTGCTCCTAGCTAAGACACAGTGGCCAAAAACCCCAAATGCTGTGAGCATTGGCCCAGGGCAGTACTAATGGATCCACAGAGCACTATGTGTAGCAGCATAATCAGCAAATGAGGAGCAGCAAAGGCCTACATTATCATACCTGTGTCTTGCACCTCTGTGAACAGCAAAAGTGTCCCACTCTGCTTTTTCTCTGAGTAGGAAAACATGGCCAGAGCTCCACGAGACAACTTCAGGCTAGGGGTGCCAGGTAAAATACAGGACGGCCAGTTACATGTGAATTTCAGAGAAATAATATATTTAGTATAAGTATATCTCAAATAGCACAGGGGATATATTTATACAAAAACAAACAAACAAAAGATTTGTCATACCTGAAATCAAATGTAAACTAACCATCCTGGATTTTTATTTGCTAAATCTGGTAACCCTTCCTTGGATCCTTGCTACCATTTCTGCATGCCCCTCCCTGTAGCTTTGGAGTCGTTTTGCTTCCAAGGGACTGTACCTGTGATCCTTCTTTTGCATGCCTGCTCTTGGGCTGCCAAAGCCACTTTGCCTGCAGACATAGAGAGGGGACATGCATAGGAGTTTGCCTCCTTCACCTGGCCACAGGATGGCCCCTGGCTGAGCAACAATGATTGGGCACAGGTGTAGAAAAGGCCAACTTTCTTGCCATGAGTCTATCTACCAGGCTCAGGCTGGAGCTCCCCTCTGTGGAAGTGGTGGGTCCCAACATTGCACACTCAATTGGCTTCATCTGCTCACTTGTCCTGCTTCCTTCACTCCCTTACCAGTTTCCCCTGGGAGCACTTCCATCAGAAATTACTCACATCAGAATCTATAGCTCAAGGTCTGCTTCTGGGGAATGGTGCCTAAGATGGCTCAACAAGAAAGGGGTCTTCAAGGGGTGAGGAGAAGGCTTAACAATTTTGAAGAGCTGAGGGAAAGGCAATCAGGAGACCTTCCAGGGAGAAAGTCCCTTACTCCCTGTAGCTTATGCTGGAGAGGTGTGGGAGGGGGTGAAATTAAGCTTCCCAGACTGCCCCCCTTGAGATGGAGGGTAGCCAGCCATTTGGCTGGGCACTTGCCTCCTGGCTAGGAGCCCACTAGAGTTGTAAGTGATGCTTCAGTGCTCAAGCTCCTCTGGGGTCCTCTGTGCAGTCATGGGTCCTTCCTTCCACACCTGCATGGCTTAGTTTTGCCTCTGATAAGACTTGCAAGCGCTTAGCACACTGCCTGGCATGTGGAAGGTACTCTGGATATGTTGGAAGAATGAATAACTGAAGTTACATCATTTCCTTACAGCCAGTGTTCTGTGCTTCCCCAAGGCCTCCCTAGTCAGACTCAGTCTCTTAAACTTGCTGCAAATGCACCAAGTCATAGGATATCTAACAAGTCTTCAGGTCCTGAAGCCTTGGGGCAGGAAGGCCACGCACCGTGCTTTGCAAGGTGAAAAGTGAAAGCAGGCAGCTGCATGGCCAGTCCCAGTTTCTTGAAAATGGAAAGGCCATTCTCCACCTTGCCTGCACAGAGGAATAACCTGGGATAGCTTTAAACAATTCTGAAGTTTGGGTCTCACCCCTAGAGATTCTGTTTTAATTGGTGTGGGTGTGACCTGAGCATAAGGATTTTTGACAGTTTCTAAGAGATTCTATTATGCAGTTGAAGTTGAAGTTGCCACTGGGCAAGGAAGTTCTATACCTGGATGGAATGACTCAGGGCACCTTTGATTAAATAGGATGATGGTGTTGGGGATGGTAAAGGTTAATCGGGCTTTATCGTTTAAAATTCTGGGATGTCTGCATTTCAGGAAATGAATTGTTCCTAGGTTGAAGGAAGCTATTCTAGTTCAGCAGTTACCGCAGAGGTTCTCAAACTTAAGGGTGCATCAGAATCACCTCTAGGGCTTATAGAAATGCAGGTTGTTGGGCCCCACATCTAGAATTTCTGATTCAGTAGGTTTGGGGAGGGGCCCCAGATTTCGCATTTCTTCAAAATCCCCAGGTGATGTGGATGCTGCTGGGCTGGGGTACACATTTTGAGAACCACTGATTTACTGTGAATTCTATTTGAAGCTAAGCTGACTCTCTTGAAAGTAATTTTTACTTTCACTTATTTGTTCCCCATTGGTTTATCCCTCAAAAGTGTTCCTTAGGGACTGTGTATTAGTTAGTTTTTTTCTGTAATCATGCTATGTAACAAACAACTCCCAAATGTCAGTGACTTATGACTGCAAACATTTATTTCATACTCACAAATATACAGGTTGGCTACAGTGTAAGCCATGCTAGATTTGAGTCCAGGCTTCAGGTTGGATTCATATTTGTTCCACATGGATTTATTCTGAGACCCTGACTGAAATAGCAATGGCTACCTGGAGCGTGCTTATTTCATAACAGAGGACAGAAGCTTCAAGAGGGCTGGCAGAGGCTTAAAGCTTTAACTTGTAGCTGATACACTATCATTTTCAACCACATTCCATTGGCCAAAGCAATTCCCATGGCCAAGCTCAGCGTCAGAGGACGGGGAAATATACTTTGTCCACAGTAAACAGTATCAGGGACAAGGAGTAAAGAATGATGGACAAACAATATCATCTATCACAACTTGTTAGATATCAGGCCTCTCATGAAGTTCTGAAGAGACACAGAAAGATAAAATGGAGTCTTGGCCTCTGAGAAGCACAGGTTGGCAAGAAAGACAAAGATACAAGGAGGTGCTAGAAATGAGATGCAGGACGAATGAGCAGCAGGAACATGCAGGTGGGAATGGCCCTGATCACTGAGATGTCTACTATCTCACACTGTGCAACCAAGGTCCTTGGAACTGGGCCCAGGCTGCAGTTCTGGAAGCCAGGCCTGTGTGTGGGAGCAGCTGAGCCAGCAATACAGCTACAGGGCATGGAGCAAAGGGAAATTGAGTCTGTGCCTGGGCGGAGGCAAGTTTGTTCCAGAAAGTCCAGAGTACCTAGTCCAAAGTGGAAAATAGCTAAGAGGGAGAACTGGCTTTTTATCAAAGGGCTGCCACAGAAAACAAGAAACATGAGCACGGCATTAGGGAAGTGAAGCCTGTGGGTAATTTGTGGTGGAAAGGGGTTGGAAGAGAAAGGACTGTTTGATGGGGTGCCTACTGTATTGAGCTCCAGGCAGCAAAGGTATTACGAAAGCCATCAAGTTGGAGGACCGGGAAAGGAAAGTGGATCTGGGCAGCTTTCCCAGAGGAGCAAGTATTTCACCTGTGGCATAGCTGGTGAGTAGGAGTTTGTTAGCAGATGGAGGGTAGATGACAGGAAGGGGAGCGTTAGGAGCTTGGGTGACAATTCCAGGGGCACTCAGACTCCTCTCTTTTCCTGTAAGTTCCTGCAGTTGCTATCTTTGCCCCCTCCACTCTTCATCCTCACCCCCAAGTTCTAGGATGCCATGATGCCCACAGCTGTCTTTGTGTTTACAGGTCACTGAGGTTTACTGCCTCTGAGATTGAAGGATTTTTTTCCTCCTCAAGTAATTACCACTCCAATTATGTTTGATCTCAGAATGATTACAAAACTCTGAGGCTCCCAAACAGTATCACTTAGACTGAGTTTCCTGGGGACTGATGTCCAAAACCGACATCCCCAGTGCTAGGTTCAAACATAGGATCTGCCAGAACTCCCCGCTTCAGCTATCTTTCATATGTGAGTGAGGGGAGAGCCCTGCCTCCACTAGGCCAAGTTCTAGCCATCATGGATTATCAGAGAAACACAGTAAATCCCCTAAGATGGCACGATTAAACACTCTAAAGCCTTGAAGTCATCCTTCCAGGAATCTAGAGGCTCACATGAAAATTTGACTTCTGGGAATCTGCCATGACATCCTCAGGCTCCTGAGCTGAGTGAGTGAATGAGGCCAGGAAGACCTCAACTTCATAAAGAAAGGCATTTGAGATGGAAGGAAAAGCTAGCTCAAAGGCACAAAGAGGTAAACACTCCGTTGGTGTCAGCAGTGTCTGCTCAGTTAGACATGGCTGAGCCAGGCTAAGCAGGGTGGGTTGAGGAGTTAAGTCGGGGCGAGGAGTGGAGGATGAGCCTGCATGGGAGGGAGGAGCTGGTGGCTGGTGGGGGCAAGGCTTTATGTAGGCAGCAGAGGCCATAAAAGCTGTTCAAAAGGGGAAGTGACTCTTTGCAAACTTTATCACATTTCCTCTGAAAAGTCCCGTTGAAGTTGGAGGAGACTGGAGAGAGATTCGAGAGAACCCTGATTAGGGCCATGGTGTCAGAAAGCTTGGCAAGAGAACATTTGAGAACCTTTAGTCTTTTCAGCATGAGTTGCAAAGTCAGCCTCCTACAGGGATGGGACATGGATGTAAGGGAACGAGCAGGCTGGGGTTTCCTCTTTTTTTCATTCCATAATGGCATCCTAGGCTTTGCTGTGTTCTGTGGGAAAATGCTTCGCATAGTAATGACATAAGAAGAGTCTCCACCACTCCAAGATATATGTTCACTCCCATTTTCCTTTAAAGACACGTCGCTTTCTTTTCTGTACCTTTGAAAGAGACGTGGGTATAGGAAATATTTCATTCTCCTCTTAATAGCACCATACCAGACCCACCAAATGAAAAGAAATGATTTCCGGCAACTGATGGCCTCACTGGGAGAGAGTTATAGGGAGCGCCGGGGTTCTGGAAAGCTAAGGGGGGATGTCCAGACCCAAAATGGAGCTATGCGCTTCTCAGCTTCAGTGGGTGAGATCGAATTTTCTAATTTTGAAGAAGAAATGGAAAAAAGTTTTAGTATAAAATCTATTTTTAAACATTGGCTACGAATCTGCATTTTTTGCTGTGCTGCAGAGGCCAGACATAGACTGTGGGCCCCTTGATTTGTACCTGCTCCCCAGATCTTTACTGGGGATAGTGCCCTTAGATGTGAGATTGTCAACTTTTTCCAACAGTGATGCCTTCAAGACAGTTATGGTCCAGAAATGGCAGGGCTGTATCAGGGGGCTGGGGGGTTGAGGTGACTTGGGGGTGGAGATGGCGGCCCTCTGAGAAATAAAGGGGAAGAAGATTTGTGGTTTTGGTTCCAGTCATTCCAGTTCTGTGGGGCTACTCCCATGAGGCAAAGCTCCCCGTTACCCTTGTCTAATACACTGAAATCCAGATGGGTCAAGAGGCCCCAAGGCCCAGCCAGAATCCCCTGGAGCCAGGGGTAGAAGGCAGGCAGTCAAGCGGGCTGTATTAGTTTCCTGGGACTCTGTAACAAAGTATCACAAACTGGATGGCTTAGAACAAGGGATTCATGCTCTCACAATTCGGGAGACCAGAAATTCAAAATCCAAGTGCCGGCAAGGCCATGCTCTCTCTGAAGACCCTAGGGAAGGATCCTTCCTTACCTCTTCCAGCTTCTGGTAGTTGCTGGCAACCCATGGCACTGCTTGGCTTACAGACACATCACTCCAATCTGTGCTTCCATCTTCACATGACGATCTTCCCTTTGTGTGTGTCTGTGTCCAAACTTCTCTCTTCTTATGAGCACACCCGTCATTGTATTTAGGATCTACTTGATCTTAACTTGATTACATCTACAAAGACCCTATTGCAGGAGAACAGATCCACAGATGGCTTGGCTGACCTAACTCTTCTCTACCCCGCAGCTTATAGTTCCTAGAATATTGGAGAATATGCCAAGAATGCAATGTCTTCTGATAAGAAGGCACTGTCTGGAACAGCCTGGCTCTGTCCTCAGTTCTCCTAGAACAGAAATGTCCTGTAGTGCTTATTCTCAGCAATTCCAGTGACACTCAGGGTATAAAACCCAGTGCTGAGTGCTTTTGGGGCCCCTCAGCTGCAACGTGACATGGGGCACATACAGAAGAGACTCCATCCACCTTGAGCAGCTTTCCTGAGCCTTGGGAACTGGCTCACCGTGGGTCCTAGGCTTCTCTTTGCTTTTGCTGCCTATTACTCTGTGAGTAATAAATCTGCTTTGCTTGACTTGTGTGAGTGTTCTGACTCACTAAATTTAAGCCAGTGGGAAAGGACCGTTGCATCCATTTCCAAACAAGACCACATTTTGAGGTTCTGGGTGAACAGGGATTGGGGCAGTGGCATTATTCAACCCAGCACGTCAGCCATCTTGAATTCCTGACTCTTTTATCGGGCGAGTATTCAGGATGGCTGGGCCGCAGTCCCATCAGGCCATGCTGAGGCCCACTTCCATGTCTCAGTCAGGTGTCTGCCACTGGCGGCCTGGAAGGACAAGCAGAAGCCCAAGGCCCTTTAGGGGTTGACAGCACTGTGGGCAGGCCCACTCTCTCAGAAGAGGGCTGAGGTTGGAGGCTGGCTGAGACTCACATGGGAAAGCTGATGCTGGAGGGAGTGGGCATTCCCCGCCCCAGTGCTGAGCAGGGACATCATCACTTAGCCCTGAAGTTCCTGTGGCTTGAGTCCCAGCTGCAGGTCCTTGCTGGCTTAAGAGCTCTGTCCTGACAAAATAAAAACAACTCTTAGATACCTCTTGCTACATGGCAAGAGCCCCCGCGGAACTGCTGTGGCTTGCAAATGAATCTCCTCCGGGACGAGGAGGGGGAACCAGAAGATACCTTGCATGCTGAAGCTCTGCTCGTTCTATGGTAAGTTCCCAGACACTGAGAGCGCCTGTGTCTTGGATGTCTTTCCTTCCCCACCTAGTTTTGGGCCTGCTTATATATCCTGGCCTTCCCCATTTTCAACCTTTAGGGGAACACTTTTCTGCCTTCTGACTCTTGTATTCTCCCTAACAATAACTTTGTGGCCGCCCCTTGCTTATGTGCCCCTGTGGTGGCCCAAATTGGAGGATCTCTGGTCCCTATAGGCAGAAGGCACTATGTCTGTTTAGGAAATGCAGCAGAGAGCCTGAAGGGCATATGAACTTCCTTTGGAAGTTCAGAGTCCCAGGAGCATAGGTTGTGGGATTCCAGAGTTGGAGAAGACATTAACTGTCACCAAATCAACTTTCTTGGAGCTTTGAGTCTCTTCTCCGTGGCTACTCCTCAGGGTCATCCCATGCTTGAAAAAAACTGCAGAGATAGGGCACTTGCTACCCCCAAGGCAGCCCAATTCATTTTTAGGCAACTCTAATCTTTATCAAATTCGTCCTGATGCTGAGTCAGAATCTGCCTCCCTGGGCACTTCACCCCTTAATCCTGGTTTATCCACTGGGGCCTGGAGTGCAAGTCTAATTCATCAAATCATAAGCTATCAGAGCTGGAGGCCACCAAGGCCAACCGCTGTTCTTAAGTTCCCTTTCTTTCTCCAGATGCCGCTTCCAGATGACCAGCCTTGGCCGGAATTTTCTACGGTTTGTATTCGTCTGCTTCTTTCCTGGATTTTAAGAGTATTTTATTTTTGTTTTCTTGCCAGACTTGGGTGCTCTTTCTGAAAAACCAGGTTGGCCTTCTCAGTCTATGAAGAAAAGGAGGGTGGCAAAAGTACCCTGCACAGGTATGACAAATGGAAGACCGGTGGCTACACTCACAAGCCCAAAGACCAGAGTGGGCAGGAGGCAGGCAGGCCTGTCTCCCCACCAGCCCCAGGTCTGCAGGGGACTGAAGGCTGCAGGCAGCTGTTCTCTCTGACTAGCAGCACCCCCATCCTCAATATAAAAGCACACCCATCATAGTATTTATAGAACTAGTAAATAAAGGATAAAATAGCAAGTGAAAGTAGGTTTTGATTGCCTACGTGTTGGTAAAACCCAGCTGGAATAATTTGATTCATGCATGGAAAAATGCCTCCAAAGCAGGGCCTTTTTTTAGTGTGCTGAAACTGAAGCCCTCCAGCCGCAGATAGAAATTTCTGCTCCTATAGTTTGGCTCTAAGACTAAGAATTAAAATCTAAAATGAGATTCCAAGAGAACTAATTATTTGATCCCTCAAAATATACCAACTATCCGTTTTCCAATCTTGCAGACAAAGCTGCTGAATGAAGGAAGAGATGATAACGCCCTCTTTGGCACCCAGCTCTTTCTGGGAGGTACATTCTCACCCGGTTGGAAGGGAATGAAGACTGTCTCATCTGTCAGACCTCTGGACATAGCCCTGTGGCACAAAGACATGTGTCTTTAGGCAAAATTAGGCAGCATGTGAATTTGATTTCTGTTCCTAGTATAAAGGGGCTGTGACTAATTTTATATTCTGAAAGTGGTTTTGAGGAATGAAAAATCTATTCTTCCCACCCCCAACCACCCACTCCCTCGAATAAGGGTTTCCTTTTCCCAAGACGCCAGATTGCTTTGCAGACAATGCCACTCACTTATTATAGGAGGTTCTAGGAGAAGTTGGCATAGAGCATACTTCTGTTCCTGGGCATTCTCTGGCTTAATGGACACTGGACTTATCAGTGACCCATGGCTGTGGACAGCTGCTGCTTTTCTTGTCTGTGACGCCCACTCAGATGCACAAACACACACACAGGAAGCCCCAATATGGTGACCTTAAGAGCTAGTTTAAAAAATACTTTTGTTTTAGAAACTGTGTGGGCTGGTAGAAAGACGAAGTGAAGCTTTCACAATTAAGAACTGTGCTTTGGAGTGCTGATCCCGGGAGACAAACTCCCAGAAAACATGCCTTCGCCACTCTTGACTTAGCCTTTCACTTAGGCATCCAATTGGGTTGCTAGATTTATTTTTAAAAATGTGAGGATGAAGGGATTCCCCATCACTGAGAATGAAGGATGAAGGGGTTTCCAGTCACTCATATTTTAGTGAGAATTAGTCCAAGAAAATAGCTTTCCTCTGAAACGCCTTTTTGCATTCGGCTACTTGGAGTGAGAGAGAGGGTTAATTTTAGCAATAGTGCACCGTGGGGACTGAGGACCTGAATTAAGAGATTCCTACATTTGAATTCCAACATTTTCTAATGTTCAGATGCATCTGATAGACCAGTAATTTGTCTAAGGAGATTGACCATCATTTTAAACACTGTCTTCATTGGGAGGGGAAGCGTTTGTTACTAGTTCTGAACAACCAGCTTGCAAGTGAATTTTCTCAGTCAATAATTTAGCAAATGATGAAACTGACATTCATAAAGGCAAAAAGGTCTCACATGTGGAGTAGTGAAAAAAGAATTCATTCCTCCAAATGTAGGGTCATGGTGTTACAGATAAAGGAAGTGCTCTTAGCACAAAGAAGTCCACGAGGACAAGCCTATGGGGTCATGGTGAGGTGCTTTGTCATTGCATTCTACCACCCCCTCCCCCACTCCCTGCTACCACTTATTTTCACTTCTACCCTGCCAGGGGTTTTCTGAGATGTTGCCCCAGAAGTACCCAAACCCTGACCTGCTATCAAGGACATCCCTGTAGATGTTCATCCTCTCTTATGGGGAACCTCCGTGGAAATCTAATTATTCATATTCCAATTATGGCTAAGGCTCCAGCGATTGAAATGATGCATGACTTCTTGTCATTAGAACACCGCTAGAATGGTCAGAGTTCTGTGTCTGCAACGGTTTTGGGACCGCAGGGCAGAGGCAAGAATGAGGAGGAAGGAAGACTTGATTCCACCTGGCACCTTGGACTGAAGTTGCCCAGCAACTTCAGTGATGGTTACGCATCAGTTTTGTACACCGGAGCGAGTGAACACCTGCAACTGCCTGCAGAATCTCACATGGACGTTTTTAGGTGAAGGGAGCTCATAGTTTCATCGTATTTTCCTTTGTGTGTGTGTGTGTGTGTGTGTGTGTGTGCGTGTGTGTGTGTGTGTGTGCGTGTCTGTGTGAGAGAGAGAGAGAGAGAGAGAGAGAGACAGAGTCTCACTCTGTCGCCTACACTGGAATGCAATGGCATGATCTTGGCTCACTGCAACCTACATCTCCCGGGTTCAAGCTATTCTCCTGCCTCAGCCTTCTGATTACCTGGGATTACAGGCATGTGCCACCATGCCCAATTAAATTTTTTTGTATTTTTAGTAGAGATAGGGTTTCGTCATGGTGGCCAGGCTGGTCTTAAACTCCTGGCCTCAAATGATCTACCCAGCTTGGCCTTCCCAAGTGCTGGGATTACAGGTGTGAGCCACTGCACCCTGCCCTCATTAGATTTTCAAAGGGATTGTGACCACTCCCATGAAAAAGATTAAAAACACCAGCATAGATAATTTTGATATTGCAGTGATTATTAGAGAAGATACTACTATCAGGATGATACATGGTAAAATGATTGCATCAGTTCGAATAGGTAGGACTGTGTTGCAGTAACAAACTCAGTGGCTTAAATGCAGCAAAACTTACTCCCTATTTATGCTCCGTGCCTGATATGGGCTGGCAGGAGAATATGCTCACTGCAGCCACTGAGATGCCCAAGCTGAGAAAGTCTTCACCTTGACAGAAGCTTCCCCCATCACCACAGCAGCAGGAAAACCAAGTGTCCTGAAAGCTCGCTGGCGGTTACACTTCCACCCAGGAGTGCTCACATTTTTAATTGGCCCAAACAAGTGACATGGCCATCAGGTGTCTCGAAAACAGGAGGGGACATCCGATCCATCGTGTGCCCACACGGAGAACTGGAGTATTTGTGAACAGCCCTAATGACTACTGCTGTGATATAAAAATTGTGGAAAGAAAACCATAAAGTGTTCAGCTGATCCACTTTACAAATTAAGAGCAAGGAACATAAAACTGTATTCAACAAATATAGTACGTAATATAAGGAATCCAGTTCCTTGTTATGGCCAATTAAGATAGAAAAAGTCGGTTGAAAGAGATTGAAAGAGAGTGGGAAAATGAGAGAAGAGGAGAAAGAGGAGGGAAGAAAATGAAAGGGGCTTTTGTGCAGAGAGGAAAAGGGGCAAGGCCACATGTCAAAGCAAGGTCAGTCTTTTCTGCCAGCTGAGTCCTACATCTCATGGTTCTACCCAGGCTGCTGGCCCAGGAGGCCAATTCCCTGGGTGCAGGCAGTCTTCCAAGTTTCCCCGCACCCCAGCTTTCTGCCGGCTGCTCTAAGTAAACAGCACAGCAGGGCCCCTGTGCTCTGCATGGAGCTCCCTGCAGAAAATCCCCTCCTTTTGCATTTCTTGGGAGCAACACACTAGAGACCATCTGAGTGAAGCTCAAAGCCAGGAGTGGCTTGTATGCCAGGATCCCACCCCAGGTCATCCCCCTGCCAGAGGCTGGAGTTCCTTTTGTGTGTGAAGGTCACCTGTGCAAAGGCTACAGACAGACCAAAGTGTGTAAAAAGCAGCAAAGGAAATCTCCTTCCCTAATGCAGTAACTCAATTCAGTGCACGTGTTGAAACTATGACATAAATATGCTAAGCACATATTTTATAATAGAAAAGACTCATTCTGTCTCTCTGTACATCTGCATGTTTTAAAGGCATAAACTAGCCCCAAGGGCTGTGACTTCCTCCACGCCCACTTCTTCCCTGGCTCCTGGAGCTGAGTCTTCCCTTTGCCCCAGGAAAGCCATGCTTATATGGCTGTCCTCCTGTGGTCACCTGCTCTCTTCATTTACTGCTCACTAAGAGAAATGGCGAGGTCAGCTCAGAGCCCTCCCTATACTCCTGGAGGAGATATATACTTAGCTGAGAGATGGGCCGGGCTTAGGGGAGAGTCAGGGACAAACGGAGAAATCTTGGGAATGGCACAGGACTGGGCTGTCTTGCGTTTTCCTGATCTGTTTCAGTTTGTTCCTCACTACTACTGCCCTGTGGTAAGGTGGTGTGAACTTCGCTTTTCAAAAGCCATGTCCCCTTTATCAATCACCTATTGCTGACAAGCTACCCCAAGATTTAGTGGTCTAAAACAATAGCTGTTTCTTATTTCCCACTAGTCTGTGGCTTAGCCAGACGGTTCTGGTCCGGGCTGGGCTCCTTAGGTCTCCTCTAGACTTATCCCACTCAAAGAGCAGCTGACGTGGTATCTGTCTATGGCCGGCTGATGTGGTGGCTGGAGCTGTCTGGGGGTTCTCTCCCACCATCTGGCATCCTGGTTCCAACAGTAACGAGAGGGCACATCCCAGTGCTCAAATGCTTTTCAGACCTCTGCTTGGGCCACTTTTGTTACTCTGTCATTGGCCAAAGTAAATCACATGGCTAACCCAGATTAAAGGGTAGAGAAATAGATTCCATCTTGCTGGGAGGAGCTGTAAAGTCACAGTGTAAAAGTGAAGATAAGGAGATGGGTGGTACAAGTTTGTAGTCATTTGTAGTCATCTGACACTCTCAAATCCCAGCCTTTTCACGTCACTTCTCTTGTAGATGGTCTTCCTGATGTCCCCTTTCCCCACACCATGGTCCAGGCCATACAGCCAGTAGGGGATCAATGTGCACGACTCTGAGAGACTCAGGGCACCATGATACACAGGCAAAGGGACCCTCTCTGGGTTAGACTTGGTTGTATATGAAAAAAAAAAATCTGAAATAACTGGGTTTAAACAAGGTAGAAAGTTTTCTCTTGGGCCAAATAGGCAGCCTCAGAGACTTGATAAAATCACCAGGGACCAAAGGCTTCTTCCAACTCACTGATTTACCTCCTACAGACAACTTACTTGCCCTCATGATCTAAGACGGTTGCTAGAGCTCCAGCAGGCAGCAATATGGAAGAAAGAAATAAGGACATATCTCTCTCTTAAAGGAGATCTTCCAGTGGTCTCACTTCTGCTCACATCTCAGTGGCCAGAAATTAGCTGTAGCCTCTAGTATAGGGCACACCTACCCAAAAAGAAGGCTCAGAGAAAGCTGGCCACATTGATGCTTCAAATAAATTTTCTGTGACTAGGGAAAAGGAGCAAAAGGATTGGGGGCTCTTTGCCAGATAAGGTCTTTTGCACACATGTTATATAACTGTGAAATTCTAAGACATCGTTGTGTAAATTTCATTTGTTTAATCATCACACCTGGAGTACATTCATGTTATCTAGTTAGTTTGGTTCATGTAAATGCATGTAGTCCCCTATTGCAGTCCCCTAGGCAACTTGGCATTCCTTTGTGACTCAGTGGCCTCTTGGGCAACGCTCTAGGGGGGCCCAGGGACTGGCTTACGTACTCAATCCCAGGGTTGAGGCTCATTTTATTTTATTTTGCAATTTTAATTGCTATATGACAACCTCACAGTGAAATTCACAAATCTTAAGCATGTACAGCTGGAGGACTTTTATATATGTAGCACCCATGTAACCACCACCCAGATTAAGCTA